TTTTAATGTTTTATTCTTCTAATAAATAATGATCTTTGCAAGCTGTATACAGGGTAATTTTTAATTTACTGAAGACCTTTTGGGAATATGTTATTTACATCATAACAACAACATCTGTAAGAAAATAAATATATTTCTAAAATTTTTATTTTCATACAAATATAAAAATATTGGACCTTCTAAACGGTAATAGTCCTGGTGTCGGAGGGTGGAACGGTGTAAGAGGCGGCGCTTACTCATTTGAACTTGACCTAATTACTATATACGATAGAAGTTAAATTTTATAGCAAATAAATATTACAATTCTTATTTTTAGTGTACGAAATCGAAAGGATATTATATTCTTTCCAGTAAATTGCTTTGTAATAAATAGCGCCATCTACAACGTTCTATAATTCTAGTCATTTTACCGAATCAAAATCGATTAATTCTATGATCGATGGACTCTCAAGGTGGTCAGTGCGATAGACGCTAGATGGCACACACACAAAGACCTGATTTTTGCATTTGCTTTACTGAATAATTTTCTGAAAATTCAGAAAATTTTAAGATTTTATTTTATCTTTTATCTGGGGCGCCTTGTCATTGCCTATATTTGCAGCATTTAATTAGCACTTAATTTCTTGCTATTATTATTTATCGTATATCTAATAACTTCATTGCGTTGCTAGCGATACGTTTTGCCAGCAACGCAAATTTCAATGGTTCGTTGCGGCGAAAATTTTGGAGCAACTAATTTTTAAGCTTAGTACTTAATTAGCACCTAAAAAGCCCCTAATTTGGGCTTTTTCTAAAAGCAATTTTGATTCTATTCTGATTTTCAGAAAACCATAATCTTGCATCTGTTTTGTTCCTGAATAACTACTTTATTTTTATTAAGGGCGCCTTATCATTGCGCATACTTGCAGCACCTAATTAGCACTTAATTCCTGGCTATTAATATTTATCGTATATCTATTAACTTCATTGCGTTGCTAGCGATACGTTTTGCTAGCAACGCAAATTTCAATCGTTCCTTGCGGTGAAAATTTTAGAGCACCTAATTTTTAAACTTGACACCTAATTAGCACCTAATTAGCACTTAATTTTTAGGTACTGATACAGAACATAACTTGCCGTTCATACCTTATGGTAAGGTCATGGTGGTCATGGACCCTATAATTGCCATAATAATGTCTGAATCTGTATCGGGTTTCGATAATCGCTCAGCACTTAATTAGCACTTAATTCCTAGCTATTAATATTTATCGTATATCTAATAACGTAATTGCGTTGCTAGCGATACGTTTTGCCAGCAACGCAAATTTCAATCGATCGTTGCGGTGAAAATTTTAGAGCACCTAATTTTTAAACTTTGTACTTAATTAGCACCTAAAAAGCCCCTAATTTGGACTTTTTCTGAAAGCAAGTTTGATTCAATTTTGATTTTCAGGAAATCTGAATTTTGCATCTGCTATGTTCTGAATAACGACTTTATTTTTATTAGGGGTTCCTTGTTATTGTTTATACTTGCAGCACCTAATTAGCACTTAATTCCCTGCTATTAATATTTATGGTATATCTAATAACTTTATTGCGTTGCTAGCGAGACGTTTTGCTGGCAACGCAAATTTCAATCGTTCCTTGCGGTGAAAATTTTAGAGCACTTAATTTTTAAACTTGGCACCTAATTAGCACTTAAAAAGCCCCTAATTTTGGATTTTTCCAAATGCAAATTCCCGATTTTGCGTTGCTAGCGATACACAGCTGATGTGTTGCGTCAAGCTTTGGAGTATTTTATCCCCTTCTTTGACGCTCCCACCGGTAGCAAAGCTCGCCCATGGTTTAACGCTGAATGTGCCCAAGCTGAAATGCGCAAGAATTTAGTGTACCTATCCTGTGTTGACGTTCGAAACCGCAAAGTTCCGGATATTAGCTCCACGTACGTGGTAGAGCCATGCTGCAGCTATATTAGTAGTACAGTTGTAGTACGAATGGGTCGGCTCGACCGGGGAAGGACCACGCTCTCACAGAATACCCGCGTAAAATGGCAGTTTGACACTGCTGTGTTTTGTAAGGTGAGTGTAGAGAACCGGAGACCCTTTTTACTGGAAAAGAGGCATTCCATCTTAGTCCTCACGGGTAACGACGCCTCTGCATTTTGATTCTTTATTGAGGATAAATGTAGATGTCTATGGGTCACAGCAACCACTTACCATCAGGTGGACTGTGTGCTCGTTTGTTACCCTTATTCTATAAAAAAAAGCTTCAAGAAGAGAACTTTCAATTAGGCTGCCAAGTCCTACAAAAAAGCATTACGGAAAGCTAGTCTCGATCGCATTAAACATATTGGCACAAAATTCTCTGCCAGACCATCCAGCACTAGAACTTTTTGGTCTTTCACCAAAGCGGTCTAGGCAAACTACTGTCGGCTTATACTGCCTCCGCTGGTGAACCCGGATGGCTCACTGGCGTAAACAGCTAAAGAGAAACCGGACTTGTTCGCGTCTCTCTTTGCCTGCAATTTACGTATGGACAGGGGCAACAACGTTCTGCCTAAATTACCTCTCACTGCGGGACCTCTAAGTCGGAGGTCCGTATCACAAATAAGGAGGTTCTTAAAACCTTGCGGTGTCTAGACGTGAACAAAGCTAGTGGACCAGATGGTATACCAGCTATAGTTCTAAAGGCTTGTGCACCTGAGTTGTCTCCTATGCTGACATACGCTTGTTTTGTCTCTCATTGAGAATAGAATAGAATAATTTTTTATTCAATATAGGTCACATGTGTAATTCTTCTTGAAAGTATTTTTTTTTACTTTACCACTGGTTCGGAAAAAACCCTCTGTCCTGGTAAGAACCAGCAAGAAACCCAGCGGGACTTTTTTTTTAAAGTAAATTTTACATTATTGGTTGTGCAAACTATTTACAAAATTTATTTTAGAAACTGCTTGGAAGTGACCACCTCATTCCCAGAGGTTTATTATCAACCATGTATTCATTTATATTATAGTAAACCTTTTTATACAGTTTCAGCTTAACAAAACATTTAAACTTGGTAATAGAGAGAGCCTGTACATTTTCCGGGACCTTGTTGTAATAGCGTATACATTGCCCCAAGAATGAATTACTGACTCTGTGGAGTCGAGAAACTGGTATCACTAGATTGTGTTTTTTTCTAGTGTTTACAGACTGTATATCACTTTTTTTACTAAAACTACCTTTTTTTGTGAACATACCATAAATTTTCGTAAATATACTGAGAGGCCAAAGTTAATATACATCGTGTCACAAAAACCCTGTGGTTCCCGTTAAGTAAGTTATCAGTCAGTATTCAAACGTAAAGAAATAACTTTTTTTCAAAAAACTTGAACTTTAAAAAATTTAATTTTAATTTTAAAAAATTTGCATATTTTATGTAGTTTTATTACCTCTAACTAACACGAACATCGATGAAAGTGGGTCTTTCAAAATCCTCTTATTCTCCAGATAATGCAGAAGTAACAAAACTACATACAATTCGAAAATTACTTTTTTTAAATTAAAATTCTTTTTTTTAATCGTCAAGTTTTTTGAAAAAAAGTTATTTCTTTACGTTTGAATACTGACTCTGATAACGCACTTAACTGGAACCACAGGGTTTTTGTTACATGTTGTATTTATTTCTTTAAATTTATCTTTATGAGACTCTCGGTTTAAGCTTGTAAATAGCTCTTATTTACAAGCTGACGCTGAAGCTACAATTTCGCTGACTGCTACTGGAACTCCTCAACCGGGAGTACTAGATTTACCTAGTTTATTATCGTTTTGTTAGTTATGATGAGACCTTATCTCTGGACTTGATGGACATACCTGGTGGTGTACTTCAGTGACTGCTACTAGAACTCCTCGACGAGTAATACTAGGTTTACCTACTTTGTGCTCATTTTGTTAGTTATGATGAGAACTTACCTCCGGACTTGATGGAGAGACCTGATGGTGTACCTCGGTAACTGCTACTAGAACTCCTCGACGAGTAATACTAGGTTTACCTACTTTGTGCTCGTTTTGTTAGTTATGATGAGACCTTACCTCCGGATTTGATGGAGATTGGTTGCGTAGTTGGAGGGTGGGCGTTGCGCGGCGGTTTGTTTAAAAATATATATAATGTTGATTTTGTTTATTAATAATTAAAAAAATACTAACAAACAAAATCAACATTACTTAATTATAAAGTAAACTCTCAAATCGCGTCGTAGCTCACAAATTAGCAAAATCGGACTGATTTTTTTTTGTAGTTTATGCCATTTTGTTATCACTCATTCCAATACAAGTTGGACTGAAGTTATATGTAAGTTACAACGTCCAAAAAACGCTTATTGCAACGTATTTTTTGTATTCTTTACCGGCGGGTGTATAGATAGCGACAGTGTGCGAGCGAGAGATGAATAGAGGTGACGCCATTTTCAATCCCATTCTTTAACCGCACGTGTAGTAAGGACGTTTTTTATCGATCAATTATATACATAGCTATTCAGATATAGATATTTCAGAGAGATTTATAGCGCAATTTGTCAGCCACGCTGCTCAAGTGCATAGACAGACTTCACATGTTTTCAAAATATTTTTTATCCTCAGCCCTAAACCTTTGATGACAGCGATACCCGCCGCGGGTTCCAATCCCACAGGTAACAAGAATTTATATGGCCTGCAAGTAATCGAGTCTAGAGATTTGCCCAATTGGAATTTATGTTTGTAAATCGCCCCCACAATACGGGAGAAATTTCCAGTGTGTTGGGAAATGCACAGCCCCAATGCGTGTTGGCGAACTTCACGTCTTCGAAATATTTTTTTCTTATTTCTCAGACATGCATTTTTCCTCACGATGTTCTGCTTCACTGCCGAGCACGTGGTAAAACAGCACTTAAAATTGCAATTAACAATTTCATTGGTGCCAGCGGGGATCGGACCCGGGATGTTCGCGTACTATGAAATTTACTAAATTACAAGGTAAATCTAAATTCAACTCAAGCATAGCTCAATAATGTCTGAAATTCTGCAGTATAATTTAGTAAAAAAATATGCATGCTAAGTAATCGCCGAACACTAAAAAACATTAGGCGCGCGCGGTAGCTGTTTCGAGCGCGCCTTCGCTCACACAATAGCAATATTTTTATTCAGAATATGTACAAAGCTTACGTTCAGTGATACAAACAATGAATGAAAAATTAATCAGTTCTCAAGCTGTTGTTATAATCATAAAAATTGACATTATAGCCTACGTTAAGTGTTAAAAACTTAGGGTGTACATAAGCATCTTAAAATATTGTTATTTTTAATACAAAACAAATATGGAGAAAACATATCAGATGTAAATACATGCAAAATTAAATTCGCTTACATTTTTTTAGGTAAAAAACTCAAGACAGGAACCTAGATAATCATTATTCAAAATTCGAAACATAGCACTTACAATGCAAATATGATGGCATTAAGAATATTATTAGTTTTGGTATTACGTTTGTATGACAAATTCAACCTGCACCGTAGGTACTGACTTATTGAGGTAAACAAACATAGTACATGTTTGCAAAAAATATAACTGAACTACAACCAATAAACTATTCAGAGCATAACTTTTTAGTCATGTGTTTTGCAAGAACATTGCAATACACCAACAAAAAGTTGACCTATCCTGTATTTTTTGTTTAACATGAAAGATACATAAAAATAAAATAAAGAAACTGCAGTTTGTCTATTTTTTGGTACAATTATTAAGATTTTAATGTTTTTTTGTATTCATTCAACATATCCATATTAGCCATATTTTCAAGTAATCGCATTTGAATATTTGCACATTCAGCAACAAAATTAATTGTATTCTGGAAGATACTCTTTGCTTTATGCAAGTTTTGAGGCACTAGTACTCCAAACCAATGTAATGGATTCACTGTGTTTTCAGCATCATTCTCAACTACTCTGAACTGTTTCATATTATCAACCTCTGTGATTTCACATACAGTTGATGCAGAAAATTCTGGACTGCTTTCCACTGGCAACCTCGCTATACTGACTGCATTCTGGCCCATTATATATCTAGATTTAGCAAGATGAATACTTCCACTGTTGATGCTTGATTCTATATTGAGTTCACATCGCATCTTTTCTTCCATCAGATGTAACTGATTAATCAATGTTTTATCCAATAAATCACAGACTCTGTTCATATTAATTTCAGTTGTTTCATCGCCTAAAAATGAACTGATCATTATAATAAAAGTAATATTAAAAACAAAATCAATAAGTTGTCAAGCACCTCATTGTTTACTGTCTTAACATATGTCATGACTACAGTTTTCACAAAAAAAAACAGTAATGCTCAAAATATCCTTACATTCTTTTCATAATTATAATTTATTGGCTAATATAAAGGATATACATATTTTCTTAGGTTGTTATTTGACATTTTCATCACAGTCTCAATTGTGTAAGGAAACCTGAACATTTATAATAAATATTTCAAAGACTTCTAAAATCTGCCAATATCCATTAGGGAAATGAATCCCTCTCAGAAATGACAGAAGAATTAGCCCAGCAATAGAACTATTTGCTAATTTTATTATAAGATCATTTATTATACAACAGGTCATGTACTAACTAAAAAAGTAAAATGTTACTATTATTAAAATAAAATAATAATACAAATACAAATAATACTACTTCATTACCTCATACATACTTTTAAGCGGAATAAAACACAACCTTTATAAGTCTGCTGTTGAACAAAGACCTTTTTTAGAACCAGCACAAGCACCAGCTAGCATTACTTGGAACAATTGCCCAAAAAAATAACATTATAATGTGAAAGGAAGTGTGTCAATTTTTGTTCATGCTATAGATCCGATCAATTAAACTACGAAGCTTTAGTGACCCGAATCTACGCTATTAGCACGAAATTCATTCCTGAAATACTAAACTCTAATTTAAAAGATTGGTGATAGGGAAGACGGAAACCAGTGTGATGACACTGTGATGATATCTGTTCTTTGTATCCTAAATTATACGACTAGCATTGACAAATTTTCCAATCCTAGGCAAACGTACCGTAGAGGAATATATTACTACAACAGATGCAGTCTTGGAGGGCTTTTAATGAAATAATAAAATCTTAGACATTCTTCAAGCAGTATTAAAACTTACCTGTATCTGTTAAAGTCATGTTAGTAAAATAAAACGTTCACTATGGAATGATTAATTAAATGACACTATTATAATATCTCACAACGACCCTCGCAAGAACTATAAATTATCTTCTACTTCATTCTTTTTTGGATTTTATTAATTAAATAAATAAATAAAAATACCTACAAGCGGTATCGATATATATAAATATTTTGATTGATTAGCAATCAATCAAATCAATTATCCACAAAAGTGTTAATTATAATCTATGGGAAGAACAATTCATTTCAACGCTGTCAAATCAAAAGTCAAAATTGCTACATATTTATTTATCTATGGTCAAAATCAGCTGACTTGACTCCCAACCATAGATAGCTCCTAACTCCCAAAGAGTATCACTGTTATTATTTTTATTAAGATTTTTGGCTTCGATGATTGTTTTTTAAGCCACGTCTTCATTAATTTATATCAGTCATCATCATTACAGCCCTTCACAAGTCCACAGCTGAACATAGGCCTTCCACAAGGAATGCCACAAAGCACGGTCCTTAGCCATCTGCATCCATCTACTTCCTACATGTCTTATCAGGTCGTCACTCCATCTAGTGGGGGGCCACTCGAGAACCTTTTTTTCCCCATCGGTTGTCAGTTCTTCGAGCTATATGGCCGGCCCATTGCCTCACTCTCTTCTCACGTTCTCACTTCGTTATTCTGGTTCTACTGCGGATATTCTCATTTCTAAGTTTATCACGCAGAGAAACCCCGAACATAATCCTCTCCATAGCTCGCTGAGCGACCATGAGCTTCCTCATACGGTCAGCAGTGAAGGACCACGTCTCAGCTCCATAAGTCATCACTAGCAGCACGCACTGATTGCACAGTTTTGAGGTATACCTGATGAGAAAATATGTTGTAATTTCCCGAACGCTGCCCAGCTAAGTTGAATCCGTCAATTGACCTCTCGGTCGAAGTTAGACTTACCTAGTTGGAATATTTGTCCCTGGTAAACATACTCGTCAACAACTACGAGCTTAGTTCTCCCAACAACTACCGGTATAGATGTGACATGGAAGTTACACATGACATTAAAAAGACGATAATGTTTCTGAGCTATATTTTTCTATTACACAAGACTCCGATTCATCATCAACTGTATCGGTTCGTGGTAAAAGAAAGCGATGTAATGCTTATTCAGATGAATTAAATTAATTCAAAAAAGAAATTAAGGATATGTTTAAGAGTTTCCAAAAAGATCATAGATATCATCAAGCGAAAGAGAATAAAATTATTACATTTTTTAAATATTATGAAGAACCAAAACTCTGCAGTGCAAAAGTTCGATTTCTTATCAGAAAAACACGATGATTTGATTAAAAACATGATAAATTGGAGACGGAGAAAAAGGCTAATATGCAATATATCCAATTACTTGAAAAAAGTTTAAAAAATTGAGCAGAACCACTGTTCTACAAGTTTGGAAATAAGGAATGTTCCCAAAAATCGTCTGAGACAAAGGAAAACCTCTCTGATATAGTTATTAATTCAGGACAACAGCTTAAACTAGACATTAACCGATCTGATATTAAAGATGTGTATCGCATTAACACAAAATCGGTGAATAAACCGATAATAGTAGATTTCATTAATGAATTAACACACGACCGTTTTATTGATGATTTTAAGAAATATAATATGTTTCATGCAAATAAAGAATTTGTATTTGTCATAAAAATGAGAAATTTAACACTAAAAACATACAAATTGACAGCCCATCCCATCTTATTTATATATCAGAGTCTCTCCCAAGGAAAACGAGACATCTGTTTTTAATTTCAAGAAAATTCTCAAAAGTAAAGAATTATGTATATTGTTGGACTTCACATGGCAAAGACTACCTCCGAAAAAAAGAAGGAGCATCCTTAATTCGTATCGTAAAGTGAAGCTGATTTGGAAAAAATAAGGAAAAATGATTAGTATTTCACCCATCATATTGCATCCTGAAAGCTTTTATATGTTTGTTAATTTTATTCACTATCCTTATATCTATAGTTTTCAATGAAATTATTAAGCTTTTTCTTACTATATTCTCATTTAAATGTTGCGCCTTTAGTTATATACACGAATACAGACTACAATACACAAAACACATATTTTTAATATACTCTTACATACTTCTCCAACAAATGAAATAACATACATTATCAAAAAACATACGTCTTTAACATATTATTAACAACATGTTATATCACTTTCACGAAATTCACAAGGTACAAATTTATCATAATTTTAAGATACACAATAACAAGTGGTTAATAAAATTCGTTACTATCAAAAATATAATCAAGCTTAATAAACTAAGTTATGAAAATATACTGCTTTTACAAATATCACTCTTAATATAGCTAAAATTAACAATATTATAACAATGGATACAGATGAGTAACACAGTATTAATTGCACATATTTAAATGATCCAACAAAGTGTTCAGCATTACTTTGTGGTGCAGATGAATTGTTGATGGTACTAGCCGTCAACATTCAGAGTATAAATCATTTTTTTTATTTATTTCTAACGTTTGTGGCAAATCTTGGTATTCATATTGATGTCTTAGTTTTAACTTAGGGGGATTTCCGTTAAAGTTATTGCGTCTATAATAGATACAATCGCGCCTCATTTAGCTATTATTTTTAATACTAGTATCGAATCTGGTGTGTTTCCTCATTTAATGAAGCATAGTAAAGTAATACCTTTATTTAAATCTGGTAGTACATTAGACCCCGGCAATTTTAGACCTATTTTTGTACTACCAACACTTAGTAAGATTTTTGAAAAAATTGTTCTTGATCAAATGTTAAATTTTTTTAGTATAAATAATTTACTTCATAAAAATCAATTTGGTTTCACAAGGGGTCGCTCGACAACTGATGCCGGTGTTGAGCTGATTAAATATATCTTTAATGCATGGGAGAATTCACAGGATGCTTTGGGTATATTTTGTGACCTATCCAAGGCCTTCGATTGTGTTCACCATGAAACATTAATCAGGAAACTTCAACACTACGGTGTAAGGAGTGATGCTCTTAAATTAATTATTTCATATTTAAGTAAGAAAACGCAAAAAGTTATCATTAACAATATGAGCTCTTCCAGATCGATGGTACAAATGGGCGTGCCTCAAGGCTCAATTCTCGGCCCCTTTCTGTTTCTTGTATACATTAATGACTTACCTTACATAGTAGGGGATAACCATGATATAGTATTATTTGCAGATGACACTTCTTTAATTTTCAAATTAAGTCGACAGTTACTAAAATATGACGAAGTAAATAATGCTATATCTAAATTAGTAAATTGGTTCGATGTTAATAATTTGCATTTAAATGGCACTAAAACAAAATGTATGAAATTCGTGACTCCAAATGTCAAACAATTAAATACTAATGTAATTTTAAATGGGAAGAAACTGAGTCTTGTAGATACCACCATTTTTCTTGGAATCACACTAGACGCGAAGCTTCAATGGAGCCCCCATATATCAAAACTAGCAAGCAGACTTAGTTCTGCAGCATATGCTGTAAAAAAGATTAGAAGTCTAACCAGTGTTGAAACAGCTAGACTAGTTTACTTCAGCTACTTCCATAGCATAATGTCGTATGGTATTTTGCTATGGGGACACGCAGCTGACACTGAAATTATATTTGTTTTACAGAAGAGGGCCATAAGAGCAATTTATGATTTAAAGCCTAAAGAGTCGCTGCGACAAAAATTTAAGGAAATTAATATATTAACTTTGGCCTCTCAATACATTTATGAAAATGTAATGTACGTACACAAAAATAAAAGTAGTTTTATAAAAATAAGTGATATTCATTCTGTAAATACTAGGAACAGACACAAGCTAGTAGTACCAGTTACTCGACTCCATCGAGTCAGTAAATTATTCTTGGGGTGATGTATACGCTTTTACAACAAAATTCCAGAAAATATACAAAGTTTGGCCTGTTCAAAGTTCAAAAACTTTATTAAACTAAGTTTGTATAAAAAGGGTTATTATAATATTAAGGAATTTATGGATGATAATAACCCCTGGAAATGAGGTGATCGCTACCAAGCTATTTCTAATTTCTTGTGTTGTTAATTTGTGTAACATCATGATTGTAAACTGTTATTTAAAAAAAAGTCCCGCTGGGTTTCTTGCTGGTTCTTCCCAGGACAGATGTTTTTTCCGAAACAGTGGTAATCAAACAAAAGAGTGACTTTCAATAAGTATTATTTATAATCTATATTGAATAAAAAAGTTTCTGTTTCTGTTTCTGTTTCAACCGAAAGTTGGACTAATTTAATTTCACACCACCTCAAATTACCGATTATAAGATGTATCAAACCGTGAATTATTTAAATGAAAATGATACCGTGTAGGGGCGGTTAAGAATATCCACTACCACATATCTTCCCGTAAGTGTCATAAGAGGCGACAGTGGGAAACAGACAAGAGATGGGCAGCAGCATCTTCCTGATAGCAGCAAAATTACAATAAAAAAACTGCGGTTACCAACCCGCTTGCCAAGCGTGGCAACTATGGCACTACCCCCATGATGAGAGTAACAAAGAGACGGCCCCCAGTCCCCGGCGGCCCCGCTATTCCTGGCTACTGTGGTGACATGGTAACGGCGGGGCAAGGGGTGTTAAGAATCTCCGGTGGAAGTTCAATTGCCACCTAAGACGGCTCGACCTGGCAACATACAACGCACGCAGCCTGAGGACTGACGAGAAGATCGTGGAGCTGGAAGAAGAGATAGACAAGTTACGCTGGCATATTATAGGATTATCCGAGGTCCGTAGATAGGGGGAGGACACGGTAATCCTCGAATCCGGCAAGTTGCTCTACCACCGGGAGGGCGACCGTCTGTCCCAAGGAGGTGTCGGATTTATCGTCCACAAGTCTCTCGTTAACAACGTTGTCAAGATTGAGAGTGTGTCGATGAGGGTTGCGTAACTTATACTAATCACCAAACGGAATTCGCTGAAGGTCATACAGGTTTACGCACCAACCTCGGCGCATCCCGATGAGGAGGTGGAGAAAATGTATGAGGACATCTCTAGAGCCATGCATTCCTCCAAAACCCACTATACGGTATTAATGGGAGACTTCAATGCAAAACTAGGCACAAGAGAGAATGGCAAGCAGAAGGTAGGGAAATTTGGAATAGGGTAACGGAACCCAAGGGGCCAGCAGCTGGCCGATTTCATGGAGACAGAGGGACTCTTTATAATTTTTTTTTATAGGATAACGGTGACAAAC